TTTGGGAAAGAATATTTTTATCCACGCATTCTGTTGTCGGGATATCATTTCTGACAAATAAAGGGTTCTTGTTATGAAAATTAACTAACATTTGCATGGAAAGAAGTATAAAAGTCAGAAAATCTTTCAGCTTATGTGACAGAACACTAAGGATCAGGTCACGTGACCGCATACATCACGTGATTTGCGCATGAGCAGAACACTGACAGATGTACTTGTGCCAGATTTTAATTTGTGAAGACTAATTAAAAATATAATCAACTTTAAAATCAAATATTGTTCCTTCTGGGAGTCTTTCAACTAGTTCACGATCTTTTTGATCACCCCTCGTACAATCAATCAGCCAGTCCCTTGAACCTATGTAACTTTGTCCCTAATAGACTTAAAAGAGTGATGCCTCTGTATACTGGGTGACAGTCTACTGATATCATGTCTTTGTGCTTATATTATAGGTCAGTGAATTTCTAATTAAAAATGCATCGGATCCTTTGTTGAGGTGAGATAAAACACCTTTTAAATGAAGCAAAGGAGATGGGCATGCAGAAAGCCCACTAGCTTCAGATATATAAAAGTCATATTGGAACTGTGAATTTAAACAGTTAATCTACATGGAAAAACATATATCCCAGAAAAAATAAAACTTTGGCAATCTTTGAAGGCCATTTTTATCAAAATGACATCATTAAGTATTCTGAAGAAAAAGATATATATTAGATGGAAACAGTTGCAATGGTGGAGATCATTTTAAATATGTGTGTTTATTGAAGATTATTGATAAAAAATAACAAACTAGATTCATGAAGCTGAGGCACTTCAAGAGATATGTAGGTGTGAAACGTCGTAGTTCATGTCCTCATGAATTATAAAAAAATTATCATAAATGCATTTCTTAGACCAAGAATAAAAAATTAATTCTCATGCCATCTTTTTGAAAATCAAATGAGCGGGCAGGTTATTTATTTTTTATATTCAGGATTATTTTCATATCACTGCGGTAATTCATGTTATTTCAATAAACATTAAAAGATAATCATTCATCTTTTTGTACTTTGGTATTTTTTTTAATTCTACAAATTATATTGCTGTTCAGAAAGAGCTTCTATCATTATATAATTATAATAGATAAACTGAGTTTATTATGCTATACTAGCCGTCGAAGTAGGTGGTGTCCTCGTCCCCGTCAGGTTGGGGGACAAATGGGGGCTCCACATCAAGTTATTTATTAAGTTTATTTAAACAGACCTTCGATGTATGTAGAAACCTCATTCCCCTCAGGTTGGGGGACAAACGGAGGCTCCACATCAAGTTATTTATTAAGTTTATTTAAACAGACCTTCGATGTATGTAGAAACCTCATCCCCCACAGGTTGGGGGACAAATGGGGGCTCCACCTCCAGTTATTTATTAAGTTTATTTAAACAGACCTTCGATGTATGTAAAAACCTCATCCCCCTCAGGTTAGGGGACAAACGGGGGCTCCACATCAAGTTATTTATTAAGTTTATTTAAACAGACCTTCGATGTATGTGGAAACCTCATCCCCCTCAGGTTGGGGGGACAAACGGGGGCTCCACATCAAGTTATTTATTAAGTTTATTTAAACAGACCTTCGATGTATGTAGAAACCTCATCCCCCTCAGGTTAGGGGACAAACGGGGTCTCCACATCAAGTTATTAGGTTTATTTATACTGACCTTCAAAGTATTACCACAACGAGCACACGGAGGGTGTGACCGGTCGCATTGGATGCTCACTCCTCCATGGTACCTGATCCCACCTCTGATGTTTCGGAGGTCCGTGTTTGCTCTGCTCTGATTTTGTATATTGTTTAATGGACTTTGAGTTTGAATACTGTTCGTTATCTCCATATCTTTCTCATTATGTAAAAAATAAAGGAACGTAAAGAAATCAAAATATGTTTGCTGACAAGCAATACCGATTCCATTGTTATGTTGTTTATATGTATTTGCATTAATAAATTTGATCAATGAATTCTAAAGATGAGGAACAGAAAACATACTAGAACTCAAAAGTTCAATTAAACAAAAATAACTGTGAGCAGAGAAAACTCTGAAATCAGAGGTGAGATCAGTTTCAATAGACGTTTAATTGGGTCAGAGTAAGATCTGACTGTGGTGGCCTATTTCTGTCCCCTACATGCAAGATAAATTATGTTAACGTGCAAGAAAATATGTAAACATGCAGGTTAACTATGTCGACATGCAAGATAATTCTTTTAACATGCACGTTACCAATTCTGTGAGAGAATATCATTTTAATATGATTAAAATCACGTATGTAAACCCTATCAGACATCTTAGATGCAAGATAGAACGTCATAATGCATGATGTGGTTAACTTATGTTAAAATGCGTAATATTTATGTAGACATGCAAAATGCTTACGTCAACATGCGAGTTAATTACGAGGGGTGATCAAAAAGTTCGCAAACTATCTCTATATCTACAAAACCACAATTCAGATTAGAATGAAATTCGGTACACACATAGCCATACACAAGGTCTATAAATAGCATATGCTGAATAAAGTTTCTCTCCTTGTTTTTGACGTCACAATGTAAAAATGACGTCACTATTTAGGTCACTTGTGACGAAAAATGGTTGTCTTAATCGAACTCGTTCAACAAACGACTGTACAATTTATTGTAATATCTTGGAAATCCCTCAACATAATCATATAATAATTTGTACACAGTTTATTGAGATAGAAGAGTTCCTATAAATTTAAATAATGATTGGATTAATCGTTTTAGTGAAGGAAGGCTGATGGTTAAAAATGATACTTGTTATCTTGCCCAGTGAAAGCAAGTTTGAAAAGATACGTATTTTTAATTAAGCAATTTCCTATCAAAGACCTCCAATTAGCACTTTGAAAAATAGTTGAATATTTGAACAATGATAAAAGTATTAAATACCTAAGATATCGTTTACCTTAGATTTTAAACATATTAGACATGATAAAAAGGATGCACCCATTCTCTATCCACCTTGAATAAAGGTCTCTCCTGCGAAAGAAGATTTGTGTTTTAATGGTCGCCATGCTTATTTTTGGAAAGGGTGTTATTATCCACCCATTCTGTTGCCGAGATATGACAATTTTTGACAAATTAACTGTTCTTGTCATAAAAATAAACTCACATGGAAAGAAATATAAAACACGGAAAAATCTTTTAACTTTTGTGACAGAACGCTACGGAGGGGGTCACGTGACCGCCAACATCACGTGATTCGCGCATGCGCAGAACGGTGGTTGATGTGCATTAAAATCGGGGAGGATCAATTTAAAATATAATCAACATTGAAACCAAATATTGTTTCTTGTATGGAAGTAATTCAATTAGTTTGCGAACTTTTTAATCACCCCTCGTATGTAGACATGCAAATAATTTATGTGAACACGCAAGTTTATCATATTAACATGCAAGATACTTATGTTTACATGCGAGATAATTATGTAGACATGCAAGATATTTATGTTCACATGCAAGATAACTATATAAACATGCTACTCAATGTCAGCATGCAACTTAGTTTTTTTTTTTTATATTCAAGATATTTATGTCAACATGCAAGATAATAAATCGCATATCATCTTACATATCTTGCGTGTTAACATAATAACTTTGCTTGTTGACATAAGTCGCATGTTGACACAAGTATATTGAATGTTGACATAAATAATTTGCATGTCTATATAATTATCTTACATGTTGACATAAATAAGATGCATGTTGAAATAAATATGTTGTATGTCTACATAAATATGTTTTATTTCATTTGCATGTACGGGGACAGAAATATGCCACTACGTAGATCTATCTTTTAATTCTATACACTTTGAAATGAAAATAATTAGAGTTAATTTCTTCTAATAAAACATATCAATAGAGACGTTATTTTAATTAAATCATAATGGAAAAAACATAAACCTTATGATTACACGTATAATAGTTTGAAAATACTTAGTACGTTTCGTTTCAAAGCTTTTTCATCTAATAAGGAACTTAATAATGTTCTGTCTACCTTTTTAGAACTATATATACATGTTTTGAGTTCCATTGCTCAAATTTTTCATTTACATTGATAAATAATGCGTCTGATGTAGATTAAAAAAATAATGTTAATTTCTTACAAATCTAAATGGAATCTCATTTGTGTAAATGAACTATGATATAACAGTTATGATTTTACTTTTTGGAAAATTCTTTTACACGTTCAAATCGGAAAAAAAAAACTTTTCATATTAAATTTAAATCAGATTTGAATTTTAAAAGTTTTAATTTGATTTAAAAATAATTTTGTTCCGCATCATATTTAAGACTGGAATATATGTTTTTAGAGTACTAAAGAACGCTATGTTAATTTTCCAAGAACTTTATCAGATGAGTTCGTTGATACTCAGTAAATTCTTTGTCAATACTAAGTACACAGTTATTTGCAGAGAGGTATCGCAAAGTTGGATGACTCTGTATTGAGATTAATTTGTCTGAATAGAGCTTTCCATTCTCTAGATTCCTAGATTCTGAGTGCAGTCTGTAAATCACAACCAGTGTACCTGTTGTAATGAAAAGAAGTACGGGAACGCATTCAAACGAAGGTGTTATAAATCTGCATTAAAGGTGCATGTTGCAAACAATTATACCGTGTATCAAAAATTCTTCATAGCAAATTTCATTAAAAATAAATTTTGAAAAGCATAATTGGACAAAGTATTAAGGTATGGTAAACAGTAAATAGGTCATAAAATGCTCACGAACGGATTAGAGTACCTCCAATAAGCCTTATGTTTTCTACTGTTTCCCTTTTGATTTGTTGAGTCTCTGTCTCGGCCTCCAAAATGATATTGCGGTCGTTAACATCCACAATGAGGTAAACAACCATAATTTGAGTTAAACTTTAAGCTTAAAATTAAACGTTTAGTTTTACGTTTTTAACGTTAATATGGTACTCTGGGTTTTTTTTCAAAGATAATGATTAAATCTATGCTTCTACCTTTGATTGGATATTTGATATGTCTTGAGAACTGTGTACGATGATGTAATGGTAATCATCAAGAAAGAGATCTGCCAGTCTCTTGTGGGCTTCAGATGAAAACGGATTAAAGCTGACCACAGCTGGTTTCTTTTCTAATTGGATGACCTCGCCTTTATCAGGCGCAAAACCAACACCTGTGTTTCTCTGAATTAGGGCAAGAGGAAAGAACATTTTTAAATAAAATTCATAGATCAATCGGAACTGCTTTATAAATCAAAATACATATATGCATGTCAACTACAAGTAATTTGTAATAGAAGTTTACACTTTATGGAAATTACATGTCTTTTTATTTTTGCTAATATTATTCTGAGAATACATTACATTATTGCTTCCTTTTGTCATAGTGGTGATCGTGATCAGCAAAATAAGAATTATTAACACCAAAATGATATCCACTAAAACAGAAATTAAAACAAAAAGCATTTAAATAAGCATAAACGCAGAGAAATACAAGGCTATTTATGTAATCTTGATCTAGCGTTGTACAATTATTCTACGAACTGAGAGCAATGATATTGTGTATAAAGAAAAAAACATTGATATTTAATGAATAGATACTACAAAATTAATCGCATAAGTATTTTTTAAGGGGATAACGAGGAACTTTCATTTTTTTTAATCAAATAATAATAAGATTTGCAACATCACTGTCATTTTTGACAACTAGAAGTTTTTTCCTCACCCCAGTATGACGTGATTTCCACTTTTTTCATATAGTTGATGTTCTCTTCACTTGACTTTTCAAGACGAGCACCTGTCTGTCCTTGTTCTTTTATCTCTTTCTCAGTTTTCAGCATTTTTTTCTTTAGCTCTTTATTCTTTCGTTCAATGTCTGCTTGTTTTTGGGAAAGAATGTTTAATTTGTTTTCTAACGTGGAAAAGTTCTGTGCATTTTTATCCTTAAGAGTCTGAAGACTTGAATTACACTTATGAAGATCTGCCTCCAGTGAAATTATTCTTTTATCACTGTTTTCTAATTTTATCGCCATATCATTTTTCATTTTATCTAAGGCATCATTCAATTCCTTAACATTTTCCTTGATTTCTTTAATTGTTTTATTATTACTCATTATATTGGCATCAGTTTTCGATGAGTAAGACTGCAGGTTTTCTATTGTTTTAGACATTGATTCACGATCAGTGTCAATCAATGTTAGATTTTCTTGTAGCTGACCTAATCTTAATTTTAGCTGCTCTAAATCTGAAGATATATTACTCCTGTCCTTTGCATCATCAGGAGATATGAATTGTTCGTTATCTTTTATTACATCCTCGTCTGTCATCTCCGAATTAAAGTACGTATACCACACTGATGCTAGAACCACCAGCACAGAAATCACCAGCAGTCTCAGTGTCCAATTGTTAATGAATTTATCAAACTGAAACATCTTTTATATTTCTGAAAAGAAAACACAATTATGCATGTGTAATGCTATTCATAGCTTGCATTGGCGGAATTTATAATTAATTATATTATTCATTTTTTAAAAAAAATCTTGATATGTTTGGTATTATCATAATGTACACATAATGATCACAGAGTATCACAATGTGACTAAAATGCAAGAGAAAGGAAATTTGCATACCTTTTATAAAATATTACTCCATCTTTAGTTTATAACAATTATTCCTATTTTGAATGTATACAAACCGGAAAGATGAAGGTTATGGAGATAAAGAACAGTATTCAATGTCAAAGTCCATAAAACAATTATACAAAATAGTAACATAGGAAACACAGACCTCCAAAACATCAGAGGTGAGATCAGGTGCCAAGCAAGAGTGAGTATATGATGGACAAACAATTCGTATATAAAACGTCAGTCAGCTTTTGATGCAATGATAAATTGTATTTGCTGACAAGGAATCGACTATAGAATTTAAGAAATGATGACTTGAAACGAGACTGCTAAAATGTTTGTTTCTACTACTTGTTTTCTTATAATGTACCCCGTTTTAGAAATCAATCATGCTCAGTGTATCTTTTGCTTATCGAATCAACTGATATAAATACACTCCGTATGCAGGTGATGAAGGTATACTGCTGCATAAGTAAGGAAAGTTGACGATAGAAAAGTTAAAGCCACCACGTTTATCATAGAGCTTAATTGTTTAATTATAATTAGTATAATTAGCGTCTTTTTCAAGTTAAATATCCAAGTATGAAATAAATATGTCAGATTTTGTGGTATATTTTATCCTATGTTTACCCCTTTTTCCTGTGATTATAGCTCATGTGATATCGTTTTCATGTTCCAAAGTTTAGTGCAGTTATGACGTCACATTTTTTGTTTTTGTGTAAGCCGATGAAGTAAAAAGAAGTGGCGTCCCATATCAAAACAGTGTAAAACATCGGTTCTGAAGTATTAGACATGGTATAGAAAGGATCTCCCATTATTTGTAATAAGATGTGATTTTATCTAGCACGTTCTGTGTTTTATCCCCTCGCCAAGGCTCTGGGATAAAAATCACACAACTTGTTGGATAAAAACCATATCCAACAGCAAATCTTCGAAGATACTATATTTATCTCAAGCTCACCAAGATATATCTTGTCGACTTAAGAATGGAAATTACAATTTTAATTGAAAATACGTCGTTGATATATCGAAACTTCGAGTTGAAGGACACAGCAAGTGTTTTCTTCTTTTCATGCATACAATTTTGCACAAATTCTATTTCATTTGATTGATTGTATATTGTTTAACATCCCTCTCAAGAATTTTTCACTCATATGGGGACACCACCACTTGCTGGTGGAGAGCTGCAGATTTTGTCCTATAATCGCCACTCAGAGCCATTGATCAGGGAGGAATCTTTTTCGTGCAAGCATCTTCTGCGACACGGAACCTCGGTTTATATAGTCTCATCCAAAGGACTGATCTCCCATTCCCACGGTGGGATTCGTACCCGCGACGTAAGTAACACCTCCTTACTTCGCGACTTAAGAGCAAACGCTCTAACAACTGCGCCATGCGGGCGGTTGCTTCTATTGAAAAAAAAGGTCTGCTTAATACGGTACCCATGGAAATTCCGATAAATTGTTGGAAGGCCTGGTCTTAAATATTAAATATTTGAAAAAGCTTATATGTCTTAATGAATTTATTGAAAACCATGTAAGTAATTAAAGTTTTAAAAGAATTTATATATTTACAATTATATATACAATGTTTTTAAATATATACAATCTAATATCCATATAAACATCAATTAGTTTGAATTCAGGTCCCAATGTTTTTCTTTTTATTAATTTTTGCTTATACAATAGTTATATATGTCTACAGTCATGATAACTAAGAAAAAGTATTCATTTTTCATAATCGACTCTGGTTCATAACAATCATTTTGATAACATAAAAGGAACTACCAAATGATTGAACTGTGCCTTTTTTAGAAAACAGTGTAACAAAATAAAAGCCGCACAGTGTAAATGTACATTAATATGCAAAACTGAAAGTATCTTAACCATGGAATACTGTTTACAGGGAAACTTTCGCCTCTTTCGCCTCCATACTATCATTGTTGTAAATGTAAAACGATAATGATAATAATAAGTATTTCAGTAAAACTACGACTGTGCGAAGTGAAAAATTCTTTGCAAGTGTGAATTGGCGAAAATTAAACTGGGCGAAAATTACACTGTATACAGTATTTTGACAACCATATTAAAGCTGAACTGGCTAAATCAATACTACATTTAAATGCATGTGATTCAAAAATAATTTTCAACAAGTGCATGTAAGAAGGATATGGAAATAACGAACAGTATTCAATCTCAACGTCCATTAAACAAATATACAAAATAAGAGCAGAGCAAACACGGACCTCCGATACATCAGAGGTGGGATCAGGTGCCATGGAGGAGTGAGCATCCCCTGCCGACCGGTCACACCCGCCGTGTGTTCGTTGTCATAATCAGGAAATAACGGAAAAAATCGTTGGTCAATTCAGTGTATAAATAATAGATTAACAATTGGTATGAAAAACGTCAGTCAGCATTTCATTCAATGATAAATTGTACTTGCTGACAAGGTCATTGTATCGACCATAGAATTTACGAAATGATGACTTTAAACGAGACTGTTCATATTCTTGTTTCATCAACTTGCTTGTCAATAATTTACCTCGTTTAAGAAATTGTTTATACGTAGAGCATGCTCTTGCGTATCGAATCAACTGAGATATAAATACTCCGTATGCAGGTGATGAAGGTATATTGCTGCATAAGTAAGGGAAGTTGACGATAGAAAAGTTAAAGTCATCACGTTTATCATATAGCTTGATTGTTAGATTACCATTAGTGTCTTTTTCAAGTAAAATATCCAAGTATGAAGCAGAAGTGTCGGACTCTGTGGTATCTTTTATCTCAAGCTCACCAGGATATATCGTGTCGACGTAGGAATGGAAATTATCATTATTAATTGACAATACGAGGGTTGATCCAAAAGTTCGTGGAATTTTTTCATATTTTATTCATTTTTAAGTTGAATTGGTTGAAAATTACAAATGAAAATATAGACACTTGATGAATATTTTAAATTAAAAAAATACTTTAAATATCTTTGATAGTAACCCTATGGCAGTTGCCATAGAAACGGTTGTTTGGTAATGCGGGGGAGACATTAATACGTTCATTTTTTCATTTTAATTCTTAATACGTGAAATGAGATTTAAACCGGCCTGTGTGGTATATAAACGAAAATTATGTCATTATTACGATTGCTTGAACTTTTATAAACCTTTGTGTGAAAGTTTTACTGATTTTACTGGATATTTAGTTTATTAATTGATTATTTATTGTTCATCTTTAAGTTGTTAGACAACGTCAAATTTCGGTCAAGTCATAAGTTTTGTTGAAAATCCCGGGATCAATCTATCTTAAACGCGTATATAATAGACAAAGGCTTGGGAAAAAATGCATTTAGTGACTGGTTTTTCGGAGGCATGAAAAAGTTAAGAAAATAGAACTGCCATGGACGTTGATTAAAGGTGTGGTGGCTTTTTGGAGACTGTTTAGGTGCAGATCCCCTTAAACAAATTAAAAGCGTTAATGGACGTTGTCGGCTGCCGTACTGTTCTTGACATTGCTACTGAAATTGGATCATCACTGGAACAGCATATGGAAAGATGGGTAGTAATTTGAAATATGAGTAAAAAATGAAGATTAGTTGGTGCGAGAGGATACCTAGGCTTTTTTTGAGAAAAAAAAATAGAGAAAAAGACAGCTTTTTGTAGAATAACGAATTCAAATTGAACATTAGGGTGAGTTGCATGTATAACGTGACGTGACATATCTAACTTGACGTTACGTCGAAGTCTTCCCCGGGTTTCACAACTATTCATTTTTAGAAAGCTCGTGTGACCGCATTGGTAATTGGAAAGTAGTAAAATTTTCCAATATTGTTGCATTATGATTCTATATTATGAATATGCCTGTTGTTTGCTTTCATCAAATCGCTATGAAATTTTAGAAAGAAATTCCACGAACTTTTGGATCAACCCTCGTACGTTGTCGATATATCTAAATATCGAGTTGAAGGCCACAGCAAGTGTTTTCTTCTTTTCACGCAAAAGATTTTGCATAAATTCTGCTTCATATGAATATAAAAATAAGTCTGCTAATAACGGAGCGCAATTTGTACCCATGGGAATTCCAATAGATTGTTGGAATACCTGGTCTCCAAAAACCACATAGATATTGTCAATCAGAAACTCAAGCATCTTCTTGATGTCAACTTCAGAGTACTTATGTGTGCAATCAGAATCTGTTTTAACAAAATAATTTTTCAAATGACCAATGACGAGGTAAGTAAACTTACGAGTTCCATTTTTGTTGAAGAAGCAGCTGTCAATGATATCAAAAAGCCTGGATTTTAATTTAAGTGTTGCTTCTAAAACCCTATTTCCTATCTTAATTTCGCCTATTGCTAATCCAACTAATTTCTTTCGTTGACTCATACTAATCAAAACAGAACAATAATTTATTCATTCAGTCGTCAAACCTTATACACAATTCCAATGTTTTCTTTGCTATTGATATTTACCACATCAGGCCTCAAGATCATGAAACAAACTTTGAATTAAGTCACATTTTCAATCATCTGTAAAATAGTTATCAATAATTGAATAAGTCTGTAAATTATTTGCTATAAAAACCATTATGAAACAAAATTGCCATATATTTTATTTTTTGTCTCCTTGTCTTAAAAAAAATAGTACAACATAAAGATTTTGACTTAAGCTTAAGACCTTTAATGATCCTGGGACCAGAAAACTAAATAAAAGAATTCCAGACAAGACAGACAAGTAAACAATATACATTTAAGGTATTTCATTGAGGAAGTTAGCAAGATTTCAGATCAACCGAGGGAAATAGACCTAGGCCAGGGGAACTGGAATTTTCCAAACTCTCTCAATGATATTCAGGGTTCTCCATCATTTGAAATGTTACTGTGTTGCAGAGTTAACGCGAAGAACTCAAATTTCGCGGTATTTTCGCGATCAAATTCGCAACTGAATCACTATTTGTGAAAATTACAAAAGAAAACTTGCACACACTAATTAGTTACACAAATGCTATGGTCGTACATATTGATACAAGTAAAAGCACGTTCTGAAAAGCAGAGGAATTTCTGACCGATGCAGTCGTACTACTTAAAACATTTTTGAAAAATTGCCGTGATTATTTACCAGTTTTCTTGATCGAGTTATCGCATTACATAAAAAAAGAAACTGCAGAAAAGTAAACTATTTTAAGAGTTCCTTGAACAAAATTTTAAGCAATTTATTTACATCAATTAAATGGATGATTAAATCGATACGATGTTATGTCTGGCTTATAGTGCTATAATTATTCTAGAGCCATGACTCTAAAGAAAAGACATATATATATATATTTTTAAATTATACAATGTATTTTATTGCAACTACCAATTAACCCTTCTATGGAAGTGTGAAAACAAATTATTTGTCTTTGTTCCGTCATGCGTAAAGTCCGGCGAGGGTCTAGGAGATAATTAATTATGTAAGGTGAAGCCCTATTGTTTAAGTGCTCTAACTTTTATAATTGAAAGACGATATAATTGTTTGATTAAAGTCTCAGTTAGAGAGAATTTGTGTGTTTAGATTTTCTAATTATCACAGATCTTACTGTGTCGGCAAAATTTTTACTGTGTTGCATGCATAAAATTTGGATCATTACTGTGTCGGAGAAAATTTTACTGTGTCGGGAGCAACACAGTAAAACAGCTCATGGAGAACCCTGATATTGTTTTAAAACTTTTAATTATACGTATACAAAAGTAGAGAAAAATTAAATAGAGAATTTCCAGAGAAGGGGAATTAACTTTCAGAACGGGAATATATGTCTTGACTAACGCATCGGGATTAGTCCGTAAACATGTTACAACTATAAATAAGTAAAATCCAGAGAATTACAGATAACCAGGAATTAGCTTCCAAAGCAGAGATTAGTTCATATGACTAACACACGGGGATTAGTCCATTCACAGTAATGTTAAGAGAATTATTCACACTTTACTACCTTATTTTATGTAAGGAACAAATAGTAGAAGTATAATAGGCCATATTAACCCCGTGTTCCAGTGTCACTGTAGGTAATTATACAAATAGAAAGAACTTAGAATCCTTAGATTAAAACAACAACAAGGTCAAAACGACCAAAACAAGGGAAATAACCACAATGATGGTAAACTGCTGTCTATTTGTGTTTTGTAGTGCAGTCCACAGCGTGTGCAACCATTCCACTATGTTCTGCCATGTCATTCCAACCTCTCCATGAATATCAACGTTCTCAAGTACTGGATCTAAAATCTGATTACAAGAAAAATAATCACTGTGTTAGCAATCACATTGTTGTTTTTATTTAGCGTATTTTACAATTAGAATTACTAAAACAAGAATGTTTAAAATATTAAAATACCGTATTGTCGCATTCTTTAGCACGTTTAAAAAGATAATTTTGGCGAAACTTTTTGGGCTGACACTCAGTTACACAAGGTTGTAAATTAGATAATTTTCATTTTCTAGATGATTTTTTGTATGATACTTATACGTTTAGAGACCGATTTAAACAAAAGTGTATTTAAAAAAAGCCTGGTTAGACATTGCTTAGTAACGGATATCAAAATTTTATTCTTGTATTTTGAACTTTTACGAAAAAATGCAAATTTAACAGATAGCGGGCTACCTTAAAACGTAGGGCTTCATCTATTGTCAATAATCTATTATTAAAGATTAAAGCACTTGTGTCTAAAAATTTATTCATGAATCAGGAAAAGGTTCTTTGTGACAAGGATATTTATCAACATCAATTCATCTAAAACAATTGATAGTCATTTATGTGAGTGAAAATTACACTGCCTCTACAATATAATGAATTCAATAGTTGAGGGATTTTATGATGCAAACTTTTAATATATACTCAACCTGTTTCAAGAATTTCAGAACAGGAACATCTATCTCTGGATTGTTTGCCGCTGTCCCTGATCGAATTTCTTCTATATTATCATCACAGTAATTCGTACAGCGAAAATAATGCAAATGAGACAGCCCGAGCGTTGTCTTGAACTCTCAAACTGATCAAAATCTTCTTCATTTTTGGTCCTTCGATCCTTGTTTGTCAACACACCAAATAGTGGAATATCTGTAAATGTATGAAAACATAAAATTCTTTTCATTTTTTGAGCATTTTATATCGAAAAGTCACCTGTATATCGATAATATGTAGTACAGAGATGATCATAGTTTAAGAGCCATCTCAAATGCAATGTACTTACAATGTATCTATTTTAGAACCCATAGATCCTGGCTTAATATAACGATTATTAAAATTCATGCATTAAGTATTACCTCTCTTTCTCCACTGCACTGTTGATACAGCCTTCATGAGTTGTGTTGGTAAATTAGGATTTCTTGCTGAAGCAATGAAAATGATCCTGTCGATCTTCTTGCTTTCTGGGGTTACTGGATATTTAGCATCAGTGTACCACCGTCCATATTTTCTGTTAAAGAAAACTTCATAATACATACACAAAAAAAATTAAGGATAAATCTCAAATATAGCTATATATAGGATATCACATGATTTGTAGTTTTGTATGATTTTTATCAAACGATTTGTGTGATTTATAGATAAAACACACAACACAACGAGTCGGATAAAAATCATATCTAACTACAAATTATGTAAAATTCTTTTTATCCCATGTTTATATTTTGTTTTATACACCATAATCAATGTTTTTCCCTATTTTATATAGGTCTCCACTTTATTTCACTTCATTACGCTAACGCAAAACCCATTGTGACGTCACAACTGTGGGAAAAGAAAACGATATCACATGAGCTATATCCACGGCATAAAAGGGTAACCATGTAACCATGGGAAATCAATTTTATTCAAAGGTATGAATAAAATGCTTTTTTTCAGAAGAAATTTATGTATATAAAGGAATTTATGTGATCTAAATACGTAATAAATTGCATATTTTTTTATTAATTACCAATTTGTTTGAATTTATGGGTCCCGAAGGGTTTTTCAGCCCTGAAGAAAAACCTTTGAAATCATTATTTATTGTTATTGTAGAAAATACATGTACTAGTTTCTTTTATATAAGATGTTTTTTATTATTTCATAACTTTTGTTATTGTAGAAAATAGATGTACTAGTTTCTTTTGTATAAGGTACTTATTGTTATTTTGTAGAATATATATGTTTTTTCTTTTGTATAAGGTGTGGGATTCTGCTTTCTGATATTGTAAAATCTGTAATCTCATTTGGCATTTGTATGCTCTATACACACACACACCCTATTCATGCTGCAGAAAGTTACAAAAACATCAGTTTCAGTATTTAAAAAAAAAGTTACAAAAACATCTTGTTAAAAAAAAGATGTCATACACCTCAAAAATACATTTTTAGAATAATTCATTTTATTTTCATCTTTTAGTTTTAGATACAACGTCCTAATACTTTGAACATAATATTGAATTAAAAGTTATCCGAAAAGCTTGCTATGATGACACAAGCATTTATACTATGTGTTAAATAAATTGATAAAAGAACCGTGTATGTATCAAAAACACATACATATTTTTTCTAAATGCATATGTATTCGTCCTAAATTATATTTGCTGATCAATTTGCAATTGAAATATTAATACATAGCTGGTACATGTACTCTTATTCATGTTTCGTAGAAATATATTAGAGATTTGATTATGCTCCCTTCATGATATGATACCTTTAATGATAGACTTTGAAAATATTATTTTCTGAAATCAGGTACATTTTTGTGAACATTTTCAAAAACTTATCTGCCAAGTCATAACCTGAAAATAAAACTACCTTAATGCAAGAATTAATATTAATATATATAATTACCTGATATCTTCTGCAACCTTATAGAGTGGTATGTTATAAGGAATTCTCCCATAGAATATGAGATTTAGAAGCCCTTGTGTCATTTCATCATCAATATCTTCAAATCCGGCTATGTCCAAGAAGTTTGGAAAGTTATACTCCAGAGTGTCTTCGTCGACAATGCTTGCATATTTTGTTACTGGTAGCCTACATCACGAGACATGACAGACACAGTTACGATTCGAAACTTGAATATCATCAGATGTATAAATATATAATCAAAGACCTAGATAATCATTGTGAATAGTTGAGATTATTGTCATTAATTGCATTAACATCATGTGAAATCAACAGCTGTGTAATTGGTAATTTAAATGACGAATACAATCCTCTCAAAATAAGCAGTTTTATTGAAATTTAAACCTAAGAACAGAATTGTGTTACATGACATTTGGTGAACTCTTTGTTCCTCGTAAGGCGTTATATTCTTTAAGTTTCTTCCGTGATAATCAGGCGTAGAAATTACATACGATTAATAAAAATAATGAAAATTCCTTAACGAGACTGAAATCCCCGCAAAGACACAATCAAAACCCATTGTAATTTACTCAATACAAAAGCGAAATGCGACTACAGTACACATGTGAAATCACCTTGTACTGTATATCACTTTGGATAAATTATAAAAAGCTCACCTACGTAAGTAACTAACAAATACGTAATCTAGTGCATGTGAGAAACAAAACATTTAAAACTGCCGAACATGGTTTGTATTGCTTCAGTATATCTCTCCCCATTCATGATTTAATTCCGTGTGAATTCAAAAGAAAATGTATTAGAAAAGAAATTATTGCCATTGTAGACGATAAGTGATTGGTTTCCCAGTTCCACCAGAGTCCCCCGTTCTGGCCCACTCCCGATATTCTCCGGTTATACTGGTGATCATTGTGTTCAGGAAGGAAGATTTTCCTACTCCGGGTGCCCCAATTACAGCTACTGTCAATGGTGTTTCGTTCTTTTCTCCGATGCGATTCTGTAACGCTTCAAGTGCTGCTAGCTTTTGTTCCTCTGCATTCGACATAAATTCCTTTTTGTACTATTGTAAAGACAAACATTAAAATTAATTTGGAGAGTTTATGACGAGAAGAAAAGCACAAAATATAGTTTTGAATTACAGTAATTTATTTACTTAAATTAAACAAAAAAAAAATAAAATACTTACATCATCACCTGTTGTCTCTGTCAGTGATGTGCTTGAAGAATCGCTTTTCTGAAAATATTAGAAGTAAGACCAATGATTTTAATAAAACTATTTTTTCCAAGATGTACAAAGTTTTTGTTTACATTTTATATGCCATAATTTTTATTAGTCATAATATGTCGGATGACACACCTATTGTCTCAGGTGCAAATTTTGTGATTTGGCAATTTGTAATTCATACTTTACTTGTATTTTCATATGTTTATAGCCCTTACTTATATTTGAATTTTGATTGTGTTTTCTTACTGTCATTTATTATATATTGTAACAAATGACCTAATTTATTCTTTAAAGGGTTTTCTGGTGTTTTTATTATATGAAGGCAGACAGGTATAAAACTATATAAAACTATTCACGGTTCTCAAATAGACCAAAAAGTATATATAGTTAACTTACAATGATATTCGTGTTTACTTCTGCAGCCATAATTTTCTACACGAACAAGGTTTCTTCTGAGAAGACCGAAAAGAAGTTGTTAGTATTTTGTTCACTGACATGTGTAAAAGTTTAACTATTTACAACTTACTGAAATGTTATGCAACATACATTTACAGATATATGACGTTACTTTTTCCCCGCAATTACTTTAAAGCGCGTTACAACAACTATTTTTTTCCGTAGCGCATCAAAACATATCTAGATCTGTTTGACTGGGTTCAAAGACCAAATTTGCATAGAAATACAGGAAAAACATATACTAAGGTGCACCTTCAAATGTGAAATTTCAAAACCTCCAAGAATACTGCAAGAATATTTAGACACAAATAACTGTGTTCAAAACAAGTAATGGCTGAGAATGCTCTGCTCTCTTCTCAACTTATTATGCTTAATTGGGTTATTGCGCATAAATACTGATGTCTACATTCACATTCAATCTTCATTAATGCATTTTTTCTTTTGCATAAAAACATCCCTTATTTTCATAAAAAAAAACTAATTTCTATTTGTGCATTTTATATTTTATGCAGTTTTGTACAAAAAGGATTATATGTAAATACAAGGTTTCATTACCTACTCATTAAGTTGTGTAAAATGAAAATGAAAAGTTCAATAAAAAAGTAAAAAGAATTTGCTGAAAGAGAGCAATCAATATGGAAACAATGGCAAAACAACTGTACATGTAATACATTCAAGCCAACAGTATATTTACAAGAAAGGTCACTAGAAAGATTATTTCATTCGCCATGTTTCTTTGTATCACGCTCGTTATACAGGTCATACTAGCATTCTGCATGATAAAGGTAAAGATAAAGAACAGTGAATTTTAAAAATAGATTGATCGTAGTGCAATAATGCAGCCTTCTACTTTTTGGAAGAGGGCTACAAGTCCTTAGGATCTCCAGAAAATATCTTTTGGATTCCGAACACTATTTTACCTCCAACGTCCATAAGAATCTTTACAAACAAAGATACATAGCAAATGTTCAACAAAGCCAAGATATAAACAGTAGTGAAGGAGAAACTTCAAGAGTACTGTACAACAGTATATTCAACAAGTGGTGTAAATCAGGTGTGGATACTTAAAAATTCCAAGGAACTTTTGGACCATTTGAAATATTAAGATTTTACCAAAATCAACAGCTTAAAAACTTACTCTTTTCCACTTTAAACACTACTATTCCCCTCAATAAATTAACGTTAAGGCTTTTTGATATCATTGACAACTGCTTTTTTCAATAAAAATGGAACTCGTACATTTACTTAACTTGTAAGTGGTCATTTACAAATAATATTCTGTTAAAAATCATTCTGATTGTAAACACAGGTACTCTGAAGTCGACATCAAAAGATGCTAGAATTTCTTATTGACAATATCTATGTTGTTTTGGTGACCAGGTCTTCCAACAATCTATTGGAATTTCTATGGGTACCAATTGCGCACCATTATAAGCGGACCTATTTCTGTATTCATATGAAGCAGAATTTGTGCAAAATCGTATGCGGGAAAAGAACAAAACGCTTGCTGTGGCCTTTAACGCGACATTTAGATATATCGACGACATAAGATATTAGATACCACAGAGTCTGACACATCTGTTTCATATTTGGATATTTTGCTTGGAAAAGGCGTTAATGGTAATCTATCAACCAAGCTATATGATAACCGTGATGACTTTAACTTCTCTATCGTCAACTTCCCTTACTTATGCAGCAATATTTACCTTCATCATCTGCAAATGGAGTTTATGTATATCAGTTGATTCGATACATTTGAGCATACTCTACGTATGAACCATTTCTAAAATGAGGTAAATGTATTGGTGAAAATAAAATATCAGCAGTGTTGTTTAAAGTCATTTTTTGCTCTATCGTCGATTCAATGACCATGTCAGCAAATACAATTTATATGTCTGACTGACGTTTTTCATACTAATTGTTAGTTTTTTCGGAGCACACGGCGGGTGTGACCGGTCGGCAGTGGGTGCTCACTCCTTCTTGGAACCTGATCATACCTTTGATGTTTTGGGGGTCCGCATTTGCTCTCTTTCTATTTGGTAATATTTTATGGACTTTTGATCTTGAATACTATTTATTATCTCCATATGGTTTATGATCGGTTAAAGAAAAATTTAATTATTAGTTTTAAATGGATGCCTACGTAAAGGATTGCATTCAATTGACATATTTTATATTGATTTTAATGATTTATAAAATAGATTTTTTTTTTTGCCTGGCGACGTAAAAGGTGCAGTATCAATTACAGTTTCTTTTTACAAGGCACCATCTGGCGTCTAATTTTTAGGTCACTTGTAGGCCTGACTTATGAAGTGGTGTTTATGCTTTAATTATCTGTCGAATGATAATTAACAGCTGGAAGAGAGAAATGAAGATATAGCTTACATGTATCTTTGATGCATCGAATGTTTCCAGAAAAGATACAATCATGTAAACTTACACCAAATATACGCAGTTTCATTTTATATACATATCTCTATGTTTACAAAAACCCTTCCAGAGCAAACGTATTCATATCATCGATCGCTGTGAAAATGCATATATTCAATATTTTGTGCACATACTGCAACACAGACAATTGCTTAATTTTCCCTACATTCATGGACTATTCAAATCTGTCATATGGGTAATCAGTCTTTTCTTATTTGCAAAATCTATGGGTGAATGAGAAGAAATCGAAAATGAAATCTTAAATGAAGAATGAATGCATGAGAGGTTCGAGTGTGGTGACTCAAGTCAATCTGAGTTTTTAGGAACTTTAAGACATAATTTTAAATGCGAACTTATAATATAAAATTAGAGATCACTTTCCAGATTTGAGATACTTAGTACTTTGATAGAAATGGACATGTAGATTCACATCAGATTTGGTTCTCAACAATAGAATAACTAAACAATAAGGGAATTGATTTATTTTTCTATGAAATAAATTCCCTTTTTTCAAAATTGTTCTTTGATCATTATAACTTTTTAAAAAAGAAATTAATTGTTAAAATTCATGTGTGAAACTTTTATCTATTTTTTGTAAAAAATACCAATGAAATTATGCAAATCTTAGTAAGGGGTTACAGTCTGACATATCAGATTATTCTAGTACAAGTGGAAACTGATTTTCTCAAAATGAAAAATGAACAATAATCGTGTATATTGATGTTTAAAGCTATATAACTCACTATTATATTAGGCATGAGAAAATATCTTTTAAAATAAGTTTATATAGGCACTTGTTTTCATAGCACCTTAAATGAAAATATCTACCAATATTTAGAATTAATTAACATAATTTATTAGTATGTACCTCATATAATATACAACTGAAACAGCATGCAGTCACTGACTAAATGATTTTTTTTCCAATTAAGACAATATAAATAACTGGAATTGGGGGTTAAATTAGCTTTTTAAATGTAATGTTACTAACCTTAGTGTCCTTGTATATCTCCCTTCAGTTCTAAGCTTTATAAATAAAAATGACGCATGCTCAGAGGATGTCCTTGTAATGTGTCCTAACCAGGTAAAACGACCAACAATAAATCTAGATCGGTATAAATATTTCTTCGGCCTGTTAACGATTTTTTTTATCGTTGAATTATACAGAAGTGCATGCAAACAGATAACCTTGGTGATGACCCTTAGATCTAAAACTAAACTCAGTGCAATGTTCACATTTTCTGAAAAGTCAGTGGGAAACTTTCAATGGTTGCAATATCTATATTGGAAAAAAAATATATAATCAAAACTTTACAGAAATCCCTACAAACAAAGATACACAGCGGGTTCCATTAAATTTTCTATCTAGCCTCTTTCTTTACTCGCACTAAACTATGAACGGCAGTGGAGTACTGTACAACAAGAAGTGGTGTAAATCAAAAGTGGATGGATAGCAATTTCCTCTTCCTTCATGACGAGTTTGTCATTAAAAAACTATCCAATTTGTAAGTTCAGCACACTAAACCTCGCTGGCACACTACACACACAAGTATTCTGAATTTGATATTTAAAAAATTTGAATGCCAGTGGCTGCCAATTGCACTCCGTTATTAGCAGACCTATTTTTGTATTCATATTTGTAAAGTGGAATTTTATCGAAAGCTTATACATGAAAAGAAAAAACGCTACTTTTTTGATATATAAAAGACGTATTGTAAATTAACAATGTTATTTCCATTCTTATGTCGATTCGATATGATATGTTCCTTGAGCATGTTGAGCTTGAAATAAAGATACCACAGAGTCTGACACATCTGTTTCATATATATTAAGATATTTTACTTGAAAAGATATTAATGGTAATCTAACAACCGAGCTCTATGTTAAACGTGATGACTTTAACTTTTCTATCGTCAACTTCCCTTACTTATGCAGCAATATATCTTCATCACCTACGTCTGGAGGTTATACATCTCAGTTGATTCGATATGCTAGAGCATGCTCTACGTATGAACAATTTCTAACACGAGAAAAATTATTGAAAAACAAGTTGATGAAACAAATATAACAGGAGCATGTTATTAATAATGTAAAAAGCTCATTACAGGATTATAAAAGCTTACTTTAATGGTTGGGTAAGCTTCCAAAGATTGGGCAAAGTATCAGAAGATAAACTTTGCCTATCCATCGGCACCCTGTGATATTATACCGGAATATTCTCATTATGCCGCTTTTTTTATTCACATGATTAATGGGAAAAGTGGAATCCCAATATTGGTAAGCTTACGTCGGTAGGATCTTAGAACACGAAGTGGACTTCATTTTAGCAATAAGGTATATCCTCTACGTTTTCTCAATTAACAGTCATTGTGTTAGCAACGTAACTTGAAGAAGTTGAGGAACTTTCATCGTTGATTTGTTTAGATGTAAAAAGCTGTAAAAATTAAATAAACTGATTAACAATATTCATTTTCATTCCTATGTTGATCCAATATATCCAGTTGAAATCGAAATGAACATATTACATACGTTTCTCTGACACATTTATTTCACATTTAATATTTTACAAGAAAAGAACGTCAATGATAAATTAAGAATTGTTTTGGACAAACGTTATGACTGACTTTTCTATTCTAAACTGCCGGGTGGCGCAGTAAAAAAAGAAAATACTCGACTTCTAGATATATCAAAGTAAAACCCCATCACATTTCCAAAAACGATTTCAACGGCCGATGGGTTTGAGGCAAAAATGGGATTTTTCAGAATGACATTTTTGTTTCATATTCCTAGGCCGTTTCTTGCCCGATATTTTGACCTCTTTTAGCTCTATGTAAACGTGATGACCAATTTTGTGTCTAACGGTCCATGTTATAATTTTTTATGCAGCAATCTGGCCTTTCATCAACTGAAAATATACGTTTATATATCTCAGCTGATTTGATACGTCCGACCATCGGTGGTCAGTTTATTAACAATTTCGTCCACGTTGGACAATTATTGAAAAACAATTTCAAAATTTCGAGTAAACTTAAAATCAAACTGTAGCTCAGAGCCCGATGATCGGACGACGATTGGCCGACTTGTGAATATTTTACCTAGTAAGGATACATAACACAAACAAAATTTTGAGGCATGGATTAATATAAATTTTTTGAACGGAAATAACATGAACAATTTTAAATCCGTAAGATATAAAGAAATCTTAAGTATTCTTTGCTGCTTAGATATGCACCATTTGTCGTTTTTATGCAATTCCATACAAAATTTTGCACACATTTTCAACATTGAATCACAATTTTATAACATTATTCCACATTGCCTTGCAAATATATCCATGTCACATATCTGAATATAGATCATATTAAATATTGTTAATTCTGAAACATGATTTTTGTGTTATTTATCCAAATCATCGGTGTCTATAGGAATTAATGTGACTGCTCTGTGTCGTCTGATACTGTATCGGCCGATTATGTTCTTTCAGCCGAAAAGACCAGAAAAATCTAGTCGCCCGACCATCGGTTTAAATGTGACCTAGGCATAAAGAGTTGATCCTTACGTTGCGGGTCCAAATCCCACTGCAGTGGAACGTGGAGACCGATTCTTAGAATGAGAATTTATCATAAACCGAGGTCCCGTGTCAAGAGTAGACGCTTACACGAAAGAGATTCCTTCCTGCTCAATGGCCCTTAGTGCCAAGCATAGGACAAAATTTGCAGCTCTCCGCTGGCAATTGGTGGCGTCTCCATTTAAGTGAAAAATTCTCAAGAGGGATGTTAAACAACATACAATCAATCTGTTCTAAATTTTCCTTATTTATGTGACAATATACAAATTTAATCCACCATTCAAAGTTTATGTCTCCAAGCTGATTTGAAAAGCAAGAACACAGTCTACATACAAATATTTTCTACATTTCTGCAATCACTCTTGATATATACAAAAGACAATTATTCCAGTCCCAGACAAATGTTACGAAATTCTTATCGTTAAATTATACAGAAGTGCATGCGAACAGATAACCCTGCAGGTGATGACCTAAGATCTAAAAACAAATTCAGTGCACTGTTCACATTTTCTGAAAAGCGCAAGTGGGCAATTTCCAAGGTTGCTAAATCTATCTTGGTTTCTAAAACTTAACAAAAATCCCGAAAAACAAATATACATAGCGGGATCCATCAATTACTCTACCAAGCCTCTCCTCACTTAAATATGAACAGCGGTGACGGAGAAACCTCAGGAGTATTGTGAACTGAGGTAAACTAGAAGTGGATAATTACAGATTCTAAGAAACTTTAGAAAGATCTATTTGAAATCGAATAATTCTTACCAAAATCTGAACAGCATTAAAACATTTCAACTGTATATGTATATGTAACAATTCCCCACGATAAATCAAAGACCAGACTTTTTTATATCATTGACAGCTCCTAATTCAATAAAAATGGAACTGTGCACTGCTCTTAATATGATATTAAAAAGATGCTCGAGTTTCTGATTGCTAATATTTATGAGATTTTGAAGATCAGGCTCCAAGGCCAAAAAAGCTTAGACGAGTTTACTTTTGATGAAGGATATGGAGATAACGAACAGTATTCAGTTTCAAAATCCATAAAACAATGCAAAATAAGAGCAGAGCAAACACGGACCCCCGAAACATCAGAGGTGATATCAGGTGCCATGGAGGAGTGAGCATTCCCCACTGACCGGTCACACCCGCCGTGTGCTTCTTGTCATGATCAGGAAATAACGGAAATAATTCGTCGTCAATTCAGCGTATAAATAATGGACTAATAATTGGTATGAAATCGTCAGTCAGCATTTGACTTAATGATAAATTGTATTTGCTGACAAGGTCATTGTATCGAACTTACGAAATGATTTTTTTAAACGAGACTGTTGATATTCTTGTTTCATCATCTTGCTTGTCAATAATTTACCTCGTCTTGGAAATTGTTCATACGTTGAGAATGCTCTTGTGTATCGAATCAACTAAGATATATATACTCTGTATGCAGTTGATGAAGGTATATTACAGCTGTCAATGATATCAAAAAGGCTGGATTTTAATTTGTCGTGGGGAATGGTTGTGTATAAAGTTGAAATGTCGTAAGTGAGGAGCAATGATTAAAAAGTATTGCTTTAAAACCCCATTTCCTGTTTAAATTTTGCCAACTGCAAATCCAACTAGGCTAATTTCTTTGGTAAAATCCAGCTAATCAGAAAAGAAAAAATTATTAATTCAGTTTTTAAAACTTTATCAATTCCAGTTTTTCTTTGCTTTTAGCTACCATAGCAGAAAACTAAAGGAAAGGTTTTATGACAAGAATAAAGAACCCTTTCTACACTGCACACTAAAGAATTTAAATTCTCTGGTATTTTTCTGCAGTTAGAGTGAATTGCCCTTAGATCTAAATTTTAAAAAGTTGAGAATTGCAGTACAATAATAAATATGTAATTAATTCTAGTATTCTTAACATTCAAAAGGCCAAGATGAGTTAATCGGTTTATACGGTCTCATCCGAAGGACCGGTCTCCACGTCCCACAGTGGGATTCGAACCCGCGACGTAAGGATTGACTCCTTACATCGCGAGTCTAGAGCAGACGCTCTAACTACTGCGTCACGCAGGCGACTACTTTGAAAGAAAACGCATTATTATGTACAGCTTATTTACATAAAAAAAACTATGCAAGAAATACAGGAAATACAAATAGAATAAGAAAGTTTAAAAAGTACTTCTATTGTTTTTAATCAAAATTCACTTGAATATGAAACATAAGGCGTGGAAAACATGTATATATTGCTTAAAGCTTTAACTAAAATTTTCCACAAGCAACAATTATGGTGATAAGAAGTTCAGCTTAGAGGAAACAATGTGATAGAGGATGATCCTAAAGTTACATGTTCCATACTTATAGAGACTGTATTGCAGTAGGTACATGTAGCTGTACAAAATAGAAGAAACTGAGACATAGATTTCTAAGATTAAAACATCAACAAGGTCAGAACGACCAAAACAAGGGAAATAACCAAAATTATGGTAAACTGCTGTCTATTTGTGTTTTGTAACGAGGTCCACAGGGTGTGCAACCATTCCACTATGTTTTTCCATGTTATTCCACCTCCATATGAATGTCAACGTTTTCCAGTACAGGATCTAGAACCTGATTGTAAAAAATCACTATATCAGCAATCATCTTGTTGTTTTATTTAGCGTTCCCTACAATTTGACTTGTTAAACCAGAAACTTTTAAATATTTCAAATACCGTATAGCGGGCTTCTTTAGCGCTTGTAAAATGGGGTTTTCTTGTTTAAATTATAGCCAATAATTTTGTCGCGGACACACATGACACTGCAACATTGATGAATTTCATTAGATTAGTTTTAGTATGGTTGATATGCGTTTGGATACCGATTTAAACAAAAGTGTAAAAAAAAATGTTGAACAACGGATATCTTTTTCTTGTATTTTAAACTTATACAAAGGATGCAAATTTAACGGATAAAATTTTAGCGGACTGCCTTTTGAAAAATTTATAGCCAATAACCCATTATTAAAGCCATAAGTGAAAGTGTCTGAGAATTAATTGATGAATCAGGTATAGTTTCTTTTTGAAATATACACTTATCCACTGGTTGTGAGTTGGATAGCTCTTTTTTCAAACCCGCGACAGGAAAATATTCCCCAAGGGCTTGCCCGAGGGAAATAGTTCCTGTCAGGGGTATGATGAAAGAGCGATCCCACTCACAACCAGTGGATAAATATTTTATTTTATTATACCTCTACTGTAATTACTCTATATAAAAGTAATACCATAAAACTGCCTATTTCCCCGAGAAGAGACTACTGCTCTCATCTGAAGACTACTCCCTGTAAAATCAGAGCTACTCCCTGGGACTACTCCCTCGTGAATATTTATTAGTAATTTTAACCAATCAAAGTGTTCAGTGGGCGGAGCGTTCAAAGATTCTCGTGCCCGTGACGTAATATGAAATTAACAGATTACGTCAGAATCAGCTGGAAAGATGGAGGAGAGTAGATTTGGAATTCTTTCGGAGGAACAATTACAATCAATTATTAACAACAAAGTATGTTTGAACACAAAAGCAGTGGTAAAAACAGCGACAAAAATACTGAAAACGTATCTCAATGAAAGAGACTTAGGAGACATTGACGATCTGGTAAATGTTTCATCAGAACAATTGAACCTATGTTTACGGAAATTTTACGCAGAGTTGCGGAAAGTAGACGGAACTAAATATGCAAGAAAGTCTATGGTGACTATTAGAAATGGACTTCAACAACATTTCATAAAAACTCGAAGCGAAGATATCATCAGTGAAGATAGGTTTAACACCTCAAGCGCACTGTTCAAAGCCGTTTTAGTCCAACTCAAGAAAGCCGGGGTCGGTGAAACCAAATCCAAGGAACCTATAGTTATAGAAGATATGGAGAAACTTTATGAATCAGCCGCATTTTCGGTAGATACTTCGGAAGGACTTCAGAACAAAACGTTATTTGAGTACTTGTATTACTTTTGTAACCGAGGAAGAGAAAATCTGCGGGAAGTCCAAAAATCAGATTTTTGTATTGCTGTGGATCCTTCCAAAAGAGAATACGTATCCGTTATAAACAAACAAACCAAGAATCACAGAGGGTATGATATACACAACAAAGATCATAAACAAAGCCGAATGTACGACAGACCAGGTAAATTTTTAATTTAGATTTATCTTTCTTTGTATACTCTGCTATATAGGCCTAATCGTTTAAAAAACTAAAAACTGTAACTTATTTTTGAAATTTAAATTTATAGGCGATTCAAGGTGTCCTGTTGCCTCATTCAAGAAATACTTGTCAAAGCTGCATTCATCTAATCCCAATTTTTGGCAAAGACCTAAAAGAAAGTATTCCGATGATGAAGACACTTGGTACGAAAATTCTGCACTCGGAAAAAACACGCTATATTCTATTATGTCCCGTGTAAGTGAGGATTACACCCTGTCCAAACGTTACACAAATTATTGTGTTCGGGCCACCTCAATCACTGTCCTAGACCACAAGGGTGTTGAAGCACGCCACATTATTGGTGTCAGTGGACACAAAAGTGAAACCTACATTAAATTATACAGTTCTCACTTGAGCGAGGACAAAAAGCGTCAAATGTCCGACATTCTAAGTGATAATGTACCCCCCCCCCCCCCCCCCGCAAAGCGATCTGCAAGATGTGAACAGTTCGAACCATGTACTGAAAATTTTCCGGAAGTATTCGAATTTTTGGATGATCGTGACCTCAACAAAATTCTTTGCGAAATTGGAGACCACGAGTTTCAAAACACCAACACTGGAATTGTTTCTTTACCAGTAGCTCAAGTTTCCAACAACTTCCACTTTTCAAATTGTCAAAAAACATTTAATATGCAAAAAAACTAAAAATGTTTACTTATTGCTGACTGCACAATTAAAATTGTTTAGCTACTCTGCTTTTAAAATTTATTACAGTGATAGTTGCGGTGAATCTACATGTATATATGTTTTGACTGTTGAAACTAGTTCTAAGGAAGACATTATTTGTTGACTGTTATATCAATTTAACAGTCAATTTATTTGTGATATAAACTGTGATAAATAACTCTTATTTTTTTATTTGTGATTTTGACTGTGATAAATAACTTTATCAAATTATTTGTGATATTAACTGTGTATCAATTTAATTTTGATATTTTCTGTGATAAAGAATTCTAAAAATGCTGCCTATAGATGTGAAATATATTTCTGATATAACTGGTCATATTAACTTTATTTTAAAATGTTATCAAATTTTAAAAATTAAATTCATTGAAAAAAAAAATCATTTTTGTGTTTATTTGGTCTTAAAATAGCCTACAAATATGATAAAACGAACACTTTTAAAATTTGTTTCGGTATAATAAAACAGTTATGGAATGGGTTTGAGGGAAATAGCAATTTTATGGTCCCCCTCTGGAGGAAACTATTTCCTCCTTCGGGGGACCATAAAATTGCTATTTCCCTCAAACCCATTCCATAACTGTATAATACTGATGTATAATTACAATTTTTCATGTTTGAACTTTTTTAGTAAGATAATACTACAAGAATAATCTGACATCTTGATGACGTCACAATGCTACTGAAGTCATTAAGACATCATCAGTCAATAGATTTATCCCTGGAAATCAAAATTGGTGGCAAAAATTGCATGAAAATTTTCCGAGGATGGATAGCAAAAACTATACCCCGTACTATGCGTGGACTAACAAATATAGCTATTTTACCTTCTAAACTTTATATAGGAAACATTTTAACAGAAGCATAATAATGATTTTTATCCACATTTATTCATCTAAAAAATTTATAATCATTTGAGTGAATGAAAATTACACTGCATCTACAATATAATGAATTAAATAGTTGAGGGATTATAAAATTATATGATGCAAAATTGAAATATATACTCAACCTGTTTCAAGAATTTCAGAACAGGAACATCTATCTCTGGATTGTTTGCCGCTGTCCCTGATCGAATTTCCTCTATATTATCATCACAGTAATTTGTGCAGCGAAAATAATGCAAATGAGACAGCCCGAGCGATGTTTTGAACTCAGTCTCAAACTGATCAAAATCTTCTTCATTTTCGGTCCTTCGATTCTTGTTTGTAAGTACACCAAATAGTGGAATATCTGTAAATGTATGAAAAAAAACATAACATATGTTCATGTTTTTGAGTACTTTATATAATAAAATCACCTTAGTATCGATAATATATAATAAAGAGATAATCCCTTCCTTAATATGACGATTATCATAATTCATGTATAAATTATCACCTCTGTTTCTCAACTGTACTGATGATACAGCCTTCATGAGTTGTGTTGGTAAATTAGGATTTCTTGCTGAAGCAATGAAAATGATCCTGTCGATCTTCTTACTTTCTGGGGTAGCATCAGTGTACCATCAGAGTCCTCATTTAAGATAACTTTTTGCTGAGTTCCTATTGAACAATTTTCAGTCTTTGCAGACCAGGTGTTCATCCAACACAAGTTGTTGCAATTCGGATTGTCTTTAATTTTTCTCCCTTATAGTAAAATAATGAGGAAACTATATATTAAACTTGATGACCTAAATAAATCAGGTTTAATCCATACACTTTTTACAACTGTAGTAGGTATGCTCTCCTCTTTATGCCTAGGCCTGTTTATATCATATACCCTGTGTACAAGGTTCTTTGTTTCCTCTCCTCTCAACGTGTCAGGTTCATTTGGTTTATTGAGCATAGGTACTGATCAATACATTCACATTTAATCTTCATGTAAGCATTTGTTTTCTTTTGCATAAAAAAGCCCTTACTTTCATTAAAAAGACCAATGTTTACTTGTATGTTATGCAGTTTTGTTCAAAAAGGATTATGAGAAATATATGTAAATACAAAGTTTCTTTACCTACTCATTAAGTTGTGTAAAATGTGCAAAGTGAAAATGAAAAGCTAAATAAAAAGAATCTTGTAAAAGAATGCAATCAATATGGCAACAGTGGCAAAACAACAAAACAACCAAGCCATATGATGACTTTAACTTTTCTATCGTCAACTACCCTTACTTATGCAGCAATAAACCTTCATCAACTGTATACATAGTATTTATATCTCAGTTGATTCGATACGCAAGAGCATGCTCTACGTATGAACAATTTCTTAAACAAGGTAAATTATTGGCAGGCAAGTTGATGAAACAAGAATGTCAGCAGTCTCGTTTAAAGTCATCATTTCGTAAGTTCTATGTCCATACAATGACCTTGTCAGCAAATACAATTTATCATTGAGTGAAATGCTGACAGACGTTTTTCATACTAACTGGTAGTCGATTAATTACACACTGAATTGACGACGGAATTTTCCTTTATTTCCCGATCATGACAAGGAGCACACGGCGGATGTGACCGGTAGGCAGGGGATGCTCACTCCTCCATGGCACCTGATCCCACCTCTGATGTTTTGGAGATCCGTGTTTGCTCTGCTACTATTTTGTATTGTTTCATGGACTTTTATATTGGACACTGTTTGTTATCTCCATATCCTTCTGTAATATATTTAAGCCAACAGTATATTTGCAAACAAGATTACTTGAACGATTAGTTCATTACCAATATATGGTACCATGTATCATGCTCATTATAAAAGTCATACTTGCATTCTGCATGATAAATGTGTAGATAAAGAACAGTGAAATTTAAAATAGATTGATCGTAGCTGCAATAATGTATTCCTCTTTTTTTGGAGGGAGAGGGCTATATATACAAAGAACATAACGAGTTCCAGTAAACACGGCTAGGAACACATTAAGTTCCAAGACAGTACCGTTGTCAGAAACATTTAAAGTTAAGCACTAATAATGGCTCGTTGTCATGAAAATACAGGTAATGTTATGACAAAAACTGTCCGGTGTTATTACTTTAAAAGACAGGTTGTGAGCAGTTTTTCATTTTTAAAGTTAAATAATTTCAACCAATGTCTGAAATTGCAATGGGGAACAGGACGGACACCCCTTTTGGTATTGTATGAATTTCAGCCGTTAAAATGAAGTAATAAAAGAGGAGTTTGCGTTGTAATACATATGAGTTTCAGCCTTTTTCCTTAGAAAACTAATTTCAAAGTTAAGGAAGAAATATGCTTGCTAACTCTTGATTTCTGCCTACATTTTGCACTCATTTTGTTTAATATTAATGACAATTTGGCCATGAAATCGTTTTGAATACAAAGAACAGTTAAGTGGTAATTGATTAATTGTTTTGTTACCAGCGCTAAAAAGTGAATTATCCCTATTTCAAGCTCTTAAAAAAGGTGGGGCGGCGAAAGACGATATTCTCCATTGAAAGATCACCATATTTTGAAATAGTCTTGGATATGATTAAATGTTCCTAGTATATTTTCTTATGTTTTCGGCAAAGAAATTATAAAAATAAATGTATTAATAAAATGTAATGTTTCAGTTGTAAATCGCTTTGAAATTAGTGAAAAAATAAGCATTTAAAAATTTGAAATATCAGCCTGACAGTGCAGTAAAAAATAACCAAACACAGATATGCAGTTTTGTCGATTATTTCATTCACTTGAATGGCATAAAGTAAAATTATAACAAACCATTAAGGGGGATCACCTGATATTAAACAAAACAAAACAAGATAAAGCATGAAAGTACAAGTGTGATTCCCCTGAGACTGACTAGAAATTTATAGCAGTGAAAATATCAGATTACATGTAAATATGCATAAAATAATAACATAAATGAGTTAATCCTTGGAGGCGTCCAAACAATTGCACCAATCCAAGATGACAAGTTACTATTATAAGAAAAATACAAATTTTGACCAGAATGCAAAATAATACAAAACTGAACCCATAAAAAGGATGGGTGGAGGGTTTTTTCCATCGCACTAACAGGGTAACAAAAATGGCGCAACAAAAACAAAGATTTTTTTTCCGATTAAAAAATCCGTAACCATGGTAACTATGGTAAGATTTACTAGATTTCTCATAGCGGCATAAATTGAATTATCTGTGATAATTTTTTTTTATTTTGTCGGTTTTTGTATATAAACATATCTATGATTATATTGTTTTTGACGTTTTTTGTCTATAAAGTATACAACCCCCCCCCCCCCCCCCCCCCCCCCTTGAGACACAAAAAGCTTTGGTTTGAATTTTTGAAAAAGAAGTCCTTATCATCTGTAAAAAAAATTTTTGTTTCACGGGGGGGGGGGGGGGGTATTTTCTGTTTTTCGTTGATTTCTTTTGTGAAAAACAAAAGTTTTACCAAATTTTATAGTTATCTCTCTTTGTTTTCCAAAATAAGTAATGTTTTATGAAAATTTATACAATAATCTATAAATAAAATATTAAAAGTCCTTTGAATATGTTAACTTTTGAAAATTATAACTTGGCGGAAGGCGGCAAAACAATATGTATTCAAATATTATATTATCTGTAATTATAGATATTACATTATTTTTATCATTGAGGAAATATTCAAAGATTTTATGCAAACGTTAATTTAAGAGCTTTTATCTCAAAGTAAAACATTCTAGTCACTGGTTCATATTTCTCTTCATTTTGAATAAATTTCCTTGCCTATTCAAAAAATTCTTTTAAGAGTGAACATCCTCTGTCTACCGTGTACACCTACTGTGTGCTCATTGATGTACCGGGAAAAATTCCGTCAATGTAAAAAATGGCCTAATAATTACTATGAAAAACGTCAGTCAGCATTTGACAAAATGATAAATTGTATTTGCTGACAAGATCATTGCTTCGACCAAGGAAATTTTGAAATTATGACTTCATAAAACAAGACTTTTGATCTTCTTGTTTCAGTTCGTTTTAAAAATTTCTGTATTTTTAAGTTCGTGTAGATCCAATATTTTATTTTTGTTTTACTGATAATATTGCAGGAATAATAAACGTATATATTGATCAGTCTGGCTAAAACCAGCCCTTACTATTTCACTTCTAACAAAGTGAAACAGGGACTAGCTTTAGTCAGACTGTTTTATTGATAAATTATATGTTAAGAAAAAGACACCGGACTAGAAAAACTTAACATGTACTGACAACGGACATTTTGCTTTTAAATTGCACTTTCTTAAAGCCTGCTTTAAAGAATAGGCTGTCAGTTGCCTAACACATGAAAAATTAAGTTTTTCTTCATATTTCAAAATAAAAGGATCATTTTGATAAATTTTACGTAGGAAATATTAAATTTTCAGGCTGAGGATCATTATTTCACTTATGGGCATGTGATTGTCAACGCAAACTCCTCTTTTTATTACTTCATTTTAACGGCTGAAATTCATACAACACCAAAAGGGGTGTCCGTCCTGTTCCCCATTGCAATTTCAGACATTGGTTGAAATTTTTAACTTAAAAAATAAAAAACTGCTCACGACCTGTCTTCTAAAGTAATGACACCGGACAGTTTTTGTCATAACCTTACCTGTATTTTCATGACAACGAGACATTATTAGTGCTTAACTTTAAATGTTTCTGACAACGGTACTGTCTTGGAACTTAACGTGTTCCTGGCCGTGAGTAAATGTTCACAAAGCCAAGGTATGAACAGTATTGTAGGAAAAACTTCAAAAGTACTGTGCAACAATAAATTCCAGAAGTGTTGTAAATCAGATGTGGATATTTAAAAATTCAAAGGAACTTATGGACCATTTAAAATCTCAAGATACTATCAAAATGAACAGCTTAAAACCTACGATTTTTCAATATTATAAACAATTTTTCGTCATTATACACTAATATTTTCTACGATAAATAAAAGACCAGGCTTTTTTATATCACTGACAGCTGCTTTTTCAATAAAAATTTAAGTTGTAAATTTACTTGACTTGTCATTAGTCATTTGCAAAATCATTCTGATTTATTGTTCATACAAGCACTCTGAGGTTGACATCAAATAGATGCTTGAATTTCTGAGTGACAATAGCTTTGGTAATTTTGACCAGGTCTTCCAACATTCTATTAGAATTCCCAATTATTAATTAATAATTGTGTCCCGTTTTTAGCAGCCCTATTTCTGTATTCATATGAAGCAGAATTTGTGCAAAATCTTATATGTGAAAAGACGAAAAACCTGCTGTGGCCTTCAATTCGACAATTAGATATATCGACGACATATTGTCAATTAACAATTGTAATTTCAATTCTTATATCGATACGATATATCCTGGTGAGTTTCAGATTAAAGAAGTCAAAGAAGTCTGACACTGTTTCATATTTGGATTTTTCACTTGAAAGGCATTAAAGGTAATATAAAATACAAGCTCGATCATGAAATTGATGACTTTATCTTTTTTGTCGTCAACTTCCTTTGCTTATGCAGCAATATACCTTCATCACCTGCATACGGAGAATATATATCTCAGTTGATTCGA